CATGTCGGAGCCCCGATGACCACTGGGGGTGGGGGGTGGGAATTGGTGGGGCTCGTTCTGCCCTCAGGTCATTCACGGGACCCGGGGCCCAGAGCCCAGGATGCAGCTTCTCTGTCGGTCATCGGGGATTCGATCCTGGCCCCTGAACGCTCCGCCTTTGTGTTTGTGCTGGGGGCTTACCTTCTTCCGTGAACAAGCTGCCACGCTTCTCACTGACCCCCCCCCGCCACCCCTCCCCCCCCACCGGGGGAACACGAGGAGCCGCGTGTCCCTCTGATCAGGGTTTTGAGTGTTTTCCGAAACTCTGACTTGGATCACGTATTCACGGAAGGGACGCTTTTCCCACTTTGGGGGTGAGTGGTTCTCAGAGTGGGGTTCCCAGGCTGGCCGTGCCAGCATCACCTGGGGGCTGGTTAGAAATGTGGGTTGTCGGGTCCCGCCTAACCTGTGGAGTCAGACGCTCTGGAGGAGGGAGCCGGGAACCTGGGAGGGACCCAGTTCGGATGCAGCTGGCGTCTGGGAAGCATTGGTCAGTGTCTGCGAGGCTAGTCTGCAGAAGGGCAGCACGTTGGACCAGCCAGCCCTCTGGGGTCTTAGCCGATCCGTGGCTCAGCACGTTAGTGACCCGAACCTCCACCCCTTCTGCCCCTTCACCGTCACCAGAAGCGTCGACAAGGAACACCTGTGGCGTGCCACACGCTTGTGCTGGAACGTGTCTGTGTCCCTGGAGGGTCGCACGCTGGTCACTGCCACCGGCCAGGTGTTCTACTCGGCAGAACAGCCCAGAACAGCCCCCCAACCTCACCCAGTGAGACAGAAAACAGGAGTAGTAAGGATCGTCTCCAGAAACACGTTAAATAAAATCCCTCAGAACACCGTCGTGCTCGGAGCCGGTTCTGTGGGTGTCCCAGGCCCCGTTTTCTGATGAGTGAACGGCTAGGATGTTTGGGGACGGCAGGAGGGGAGCTGTGTCTATTCCCGGTCAGGACGTGTGCAGAGTCCCAGCACCCGCAGAGTCGTCGGGACTGGCTTCGGGGCTTAGCAAAGATGGGTGTCGGGAGTTAACGCAGAGCAGAGCTTTTCCAGAATCCCGACAGAGCACTCTGTACGCCCAAGAGCGGGTAGTGTCAGTTAATCCCTCCGTGAGGGAGTTCTTTCAAGACACAGAAGCAAGAAAATATTTTAAAATCGATTAACAGTAATGACAGTAACAGCAGGGACTATAGCGTTTATTGAACACTTACTCTGTGCCAAGTGCCGTTCTAGGGATGCATCTAGGGACATCTAGGGCTTGGTGCACACGTTCACTTCATCTCCATGACGACCCAGGGGAAAATGAGGCACGGTCAGTTTAAGTGACTCGGCCAAGGCAAGCTAGTAGGAAGCAAAATCTGGACTCAAACCCCAGGAACTCGGTGCCGGAGCCCCACCCTTCAGCCGCTGCGTTGCAGCCTGGCTTCCCGGGACCTCCCTGTCCCGTCCTCCCTGGGAGCCGGGCTCAGCTCTTCTGCCAGCAACACTGCGGCGAGAGTTGAGTCGTGAATTAGTTCACACAGTGCAGGACTCAGAAGCCCCGCCTCCCCTGGCAGGTGCGTCACAACGGGAGACGGTCCCCCATACCACGTGGCCACTACCCGCCGGGCACCGGACCTGGTCAGGTGGCCACCGCCGGCATCCTCTTTACCGGTTGGAAATCAGGCACTGAGACTGAGCCAACTGCTCGGGGATACACAGCTCGCAAGGGCAGAGCCGGGCTGCGAGGGCAGGCGGGCCCCCTGGTGGCACTGTCTGGGGCAGCCGAGGAAAGTGTGCAGGGGCCCGGTGCCCCTCCGTGGGGTGGGAGGGGACGGGCTCTGGGGTCCGTCGCAGGGGGAGTCCCCCCCCCCACCCCCCGCGATGAGCTTGCTCTCACCGGGGTCAGTGCCGTGTGCTTTACATGTGCGTTTGGCTGCTTTGTGGCTTGTTCCCCCGGGGCGTCTTCCTAGCGCCTCACTGCTTTGCCCCCAGCTTGCTGGTCGTCCGCTCCGGGATGAGGCATCAGATGGCCCGCGACACCAGACACTCGTCACAGCCAGGAAGGAACCCTCGCGGGCTCCTTTCGTCCCTGGGTCGCATCTGGGGAGACTTTCCAGAGCAGACCGCGCTCCCCCAACCCAGACAGGCATGGGGTCCCTCCTAGAGGTGGGACCCAGCATCCGGGCTGCGTTGTGACTTTCCTGGGCCCCGTGAAAATATCAAGTATCACGTTTTACGTGTATCTGCGTGGGTGTAAAGAGGGCTATGGTCCAGGTTGGAGTCGTTCTTCCCGTATTCTCTTTACTCCTGGTTTTCAAGGAAACTAAAACGAAAACGTTTCTGTGGGTCCCTGAATGTGCCGGCACCGTGTCGCGGGGCCCTCAGGGAGGCGTCGTCACCCTGCTGGGCGGGTGTTAGGACACCTGGTTACTTGGTGACCCCGTGGCACTGAGTGCGCGTGTGGGTGAAGGAGCACGTGGGTTTGGTCCCGTCAGAAAGCCGGAGCTGGTTGTCAGCTGAAGCGTAAGGCCAGCCTCCCCAGCGCATCGCAGCTTCACGCTGCACACACAAAGGTCGTTTCCTGTCGGCGACACCCGCCGCCCACCTGGGAAGGCCCCCAGGAGTGCCCCGCCCGGGCTCCCTGCCTCCTGTGGCTGTGTCGTCCGGAGCACAGGGCTTCCTGGTGACTGCGGCAGGGACGGCTCCTACGTTCTCTTCTGTGTCCACTGTGCACCGGCCGTAGCCAGTGACACTTTGCCACAGGAGAAACCGGGACAGCGTCACAGGCCCAGGAAACGAAGCCGAACGTGGTTGAGCTGTGGCATCGTCCCTGCCCC